AAAACCCAAAATGGAACAAAAATGGCCTGTTACGGGATTAATCGGTTTTCAATGCACTGTAGCTCAATGGAGACTTGACCTACAGACTTTTTGACCTGCAGCCACCGTTCCAATACGGATTAATTCTGTAAGTCAAGGGTCCACTGTACTGCCTGGACTGTATTTTCCCTGCCTTCCCTGAACCTTTCTTGACCTAAGAAAAAAAGAAACAAAATATTCCCCTCTAGTGGTTGAAGGAGGAGTAGCAGCTTCCCGTTAATTTCTATGGACGGAAAAGAGCAGATACGGATCAAATGGTTTTCAATGCATTCCTATGGGAAATGCAGATTTGACCTGAGAACTTTTTGACTTGAGAACTGCCTTCCAATACGGATTAAGTTCTCAAGTCAAGACCCCACTGTATACAGTTTAAAGGCCTTTTTCCTTCCCCTTCCCCCGCCCCAGGAGGAGCGAGCAGGGCCGAAGTGCCGCTTGCCAGGGCCCTTCCCCTTCCCCCGCCGCCATCCCGGAGGAGCGAGCAGGGCCGAAGCACCGCTCACCAGGGCCCTTACCTTCCCCGTCCCCCGCCCCAGGAGGAGCGAACCGGCCGAAGCGCCGCCTGCCCAGGCCTTTTTCCTTCCCCTCCCCCCACCCCAGGAGGACCGAGCGGGGCCGAAGTGCCGCTCGCCAGGGCCCTTCCCCCGCCGCCGCCCCGGAGGAGCGAGCCGGCCAAAGTGCCGCTCGCCTGGGCCTTTTTCCTTCCCCTTCCCCCGCCCCAGGAAGAGCGAGCAGGGCCGAAGTGCCGCTCACCCGGGCCTTTTTCCTTCCCCGGCCGCCAACGCCACCCCAACCATCGCTAATCAAATAGAAAATCGCTAATCAAAGCAAAAAAATTCCCCAAAAAACAAATCGCTATTCGGTTTTTTTCGTTAATAGAGGCGCTCTCTACTCGAGTCACCACTGTAATATTGCAATTTAAAAAGAGCGAGCAGGGCCGAAGTGCCGCTCACCCGGGCCTTTTTCCTTCCCCGGCCGCCAACGCCACCCCAACCATCGCTAATCAAATAGAAAATCGCTAATCAAAGCAAAAAAATTCCCCAAAAAACAAATCGCTATTCGGTTTTTTTCGTTAATAGAGGCGCTCTCTACTCGAGTCACCACTGTAATATTGCAATTTAAAATATACCTTTGTATCAAATGGATTAAACAAAAAATAGAATGGGGCAAGTTAATGACAACAAACTAAGTAGAACAAAATAAAACAAAAAGCAACAAGAAATTAATTTAGTGAGAAAGCAGAGAAAATAAACCCAATCTTCTCCCCCCATATAATTAGTCCTGTCCCACAGCGCCCTAGCAGCAGGTCTTATTTTCCTCAGAGTGTTTGTTGAGTATGAGTTCAAGTTCATAGGGGCAAGAACCCCCACCCAGACAGTCAGAAGCAGAACTCGATATAGCATTGCAAGAAGGGAGAACAGGAGGAGAGCGACTGAGGACATGATGCCTGTGCTGTCTCTCTCGGCGTTATAGGGCTCTTAGAATTCGAGTACCAAAATCACAGGTGAATTACTCCTAAAAGAAGGCAAATGTGGCTGGTTTAATATATTCAATACAGTGGAATTTGAAGCCATAGTGTAAATTAACATGTGTGAAATGGCTGACTGGCCCACTATCATCCTAGCTCGAACGTTTTCCTTTCCTGCTGAGAGATGGGAGAAATCCATAGACAACAGGACAGGGAAGACCTGAATGGTCACAAAAGTGACAACTCCACTGAGGGAAGAGAATGACTGAAGGACAGGTGGGAAAAATGGCCGTTGGTAAAGGCAGGAACTCAAATAGAGGAGAAAGCTGAGTTATTAGAGAAGGTGGGGACAGTAGTGGAGTATGTGAGTGAATGGTTGGAAAAGGCGGGAATAGGGAAAAGAGAGGGAACAGAAGTATATAAGGAGAAGTCTCGAAGATGGGGAGTAGAGACAAGCAAGGTGGAAGTAAAAAGGGAGAAGAAGATTCTCCCACCCAGGTGGGAATGGATCTGAATGGAAAACCCCTGGACAAACAAGTGGGGGAAAGACTCATGGTTCCCTGTGAAGAGGCTGAAAGGAGGAGGTGAGAAGTGAGGCCCCAGAAACCATCCTATTGACATGAAAAAGAGGCCATAGAGTAGAGAAGGAGAAGGAGAGAAAGCAGAGCTAAGTTAGCCAGGGAGAAACGAAAACGGGTCAGATGGCACAATTTGTTTGAGAAAGGAGAGTGCAAGACCTTGATTTATGGGAGTTTCAGGAGCCGGGAACTGGAATGCCTGAGTATCAGGCCCCCTTCGGAGACCTGGTGTCCATGTTGATAGTTTTAACAGGACCAGTGATGAGAAATTATCATCTGATTCCCAGGTATGGACTGCCTGAAACCCCTGTGGACCTCTGTTGTGTGAGGAGGAGGAGTCAGTGATTGTTTTTTTGGATTGTCCTAAAACAAGTATTGATTGATGGCTTGGAGTCAGTGGATAAGTTGTCATTACTCAACTCAAAGGTGGAACTGGGAGGTAGTTTACCTCAAGATCCTTCACAAACATAAGTTCTTCCTAAAACTCTTATAGTAGCATTATTAATTTCTTAACGTTATGAATTTTTTTTATTAACAAAAGTATTAATTGTGGTGCTGGAGGAGGCTCTTGAGAGTCCCCTGGACTGCAAGGAGAACAAACCTATCCATTCTAAAAGAAATCGACCCTGAGGGCTCACTAGGAGGACAGATCCTGAAGCTGAGGCTCCAATACTTTGGCCATCTCATGAGAAGAGAAGACTCCCTGGAAAAGACCCTGATGTTAGGAAAGTGTGAAGGCAAGAGGAGAAGGGGACGACAGAGGATGAGATGGTTGGACAGTGTCATCGAAGCTACGAACATGAATCTGACCCAACTCTGGGAGGCAGTGGAAGACAGGAGGGCCTGGTGGGCTCTGGTCCATGGGGTCACAAATAGTCGGACATGACTAAGCACCAAAAAAAAACCCCACCTTAAATCTGTCATAACAAGCTCTCATTAAAATGCTCAGGAAATGGAGGACAAATTCCCACTGTCCCCAGAGTCCAGCTCCTGGCTTCCAAACATAAAAAATGAAGGGGGCAAAAATGTGATCAGACTGGTTTTATAGAGCAGAACCACTCTGACCAAAATAAGTTATAGTAACATAAGGTTAGCATGCACCAGTATTTGTACTGAGAGAAGTCACAAGACATGTTTTTAGACCAAATGTAAAAAGAGGTTGAAGAATTTCAGGGCAGAGTGTGTAGCTGCCAGTTCGATTTGTTGTATGACTTAGCCAGGATTATAGCACTGGGCTAGAACATTCATGTGTACTTGCTTTTTTGTGTATGTATGCATGCACACATGAACATGTGCGTTCATGTTAGTGGAAGGATGAATAGAGATAAGGTGGATGAGAGAGTGAATGAAAGAGTTGTTGAAATGCTATTGTGGATTTTCAATGAATTTCCCATTTTGTTTCCTTCTCTCTGATACTGTGGTGCTGGTATGGCAATATACAGAACCAAGTAAATCATGAAAAAAGACTTGCCAAGAAATCCTCTGATGATGCAGCAGCAGGAAGTCCTTTTATTATGCATGAACAAAATACTAATGCCAAAGGCAGGGCTAGTCTTTCTTCTCCAAGAGATGGAGTACTGGAGCCTGCGGCAAATGGAAGTCAGACTGAAGTCAGTGAAAAAGAAGTCAGTCATTCTGAAAGTAGCATTGATGCAGACAGTGAGGCCTCTGAAAGTGAAAGTACTTCTAAGCAAACTGCTTCCGGAAGAACTTGTTGCATACCTGGTTTGTATACTGACGGGCATAAATATTCATCAGCAGCCACTAAATTGCAGCACAACAAATCGACTGATAGCAATATGGAGGCACTTACTAATGCCTTGTTGAAACTTGACTTCAGCAATACATCCAATGAGAATGAAGGGACCCTCTATAAGAAACCTGCGTTGAGTCTGTCGAACAACTTTTCATCCCTCGCAGAGAAACCCCTGTTGTTGCGAAACCCTCAAAGTGCCTTCCAGACCTTATCTCAGAGCTACACAACAAGCTCTAAAGAATGTTCCATTCAGTCATGCCTTTACCAGTTTACATCTGTGGAGCTCTTGATGGGAAACAACAAGCTCTTGTGTGAGAACTGTACCGATCGGAAACAGAAACACCAGAAGAAAGCAAATTCCACAGGTAACACACTGATGGTTGAATGGATTGTTTCCTTCACCTAAATATACAGGTACAGGAAGTGGAATGGGGGTTTATTTGTGTGCCTATATGTAGCCCCAAATTTAATCATAGCCTGCTTTTGAGGCTGGGCCTGGGAATGTGGCAGCTTTTTTGTGATCAAAGATAAAATACCAAACTTCTACTAGCTTCCCTAAATTCCGTGTGTCTATATGCAGCCCCAAATTTAATCATTGCCTGCTTTTGGGGCTGGGGCTGGGAATGTGGCAGCCTTTTTGTGATCAAAGATAAAATACCAAACTTCTACTAGCTTCCCTAAATTCATGATGTAAGCCTAAAGCTATTCCTTGGATTCTGGCTCATGTAATGAAAGGGATCTGAACAGTTGTGTCAAAGAACTGTGGCATGTAATAGGAAATCCAGCAGACTGTATTTTGAGGCATTTTCCTGGCTTCTGTCATCTTGTTTTTGCAGCTCTTTTTATCTTTGTTGTGCGTAATCCTAACTCCTCTGAGACCATTACATTTAGGTGGTGATGATGATGAATGCAAAACTATACAACTGCAAGGGAGACCTGTAACAAAATGCTACAGAGTGAAGTATTCCTGTACAATGATCTGGCTGATCAGCCATACCTTCTTCCAGAATAGTCTCTAAGCTTCCCACCTACTTCCAAACAGTCAGTCAGCATTCTCTGCCCATTGGGTATACTAACTGCTTATTGCATTGTTTTGATCCTTTCCATTTTGTCTCCCCAACTGCCAAGAGATTTTGTGATTCTTGAACCTGAGAGTTTTCTTGAGCATACCACTATTCCTTCTTAATATTTAGATGGTGGTGAAATACTAGTTTCCCTCTATTCAGCACTGGTTAGGCCTCAAAAGTATTGTGTACCGTTCTGGACACCATACTTAAAGAAGGATGCAAGCGAATAGCAACAAGTTCAGAGGAGGGCAACAAGGATGATCAGAGAACTGGAAACCAAGCCCTCTGGGGAAAATCTGAAATAACTGAGCAGGTTTAGCCTTGAGAAAAGACCCTCTGGGGAAAATCTGAAATAACCGAGCAGGTTTAGCCTTGAGAAAAGAAGACTGAGGGGAGACACGATAGCACTCATCAAATAAAATACTTGAAAGGTTGTTATGCAGAGAGGCAAGATCCATTTTCAGTCATTCTTAGAGTGCAGGACATGTAATCATGGGCTCAAATTACCAGAAGCCAGATTTCAGTTGAATATCTGGAAAAACATCCTAGGTATTAGAGCTGTACAACAATGGAACCAGTTACCTTGGGAAGTGGTCAGTGCTCCGACACCAGAGGCATTCAGTAGAAAATTAGATAGCCATTTGTTGAATAGACTTTGATTTGGATTCCTGTATTGAGCAGTGGGTGGGGGTGGGGGGGACTTGATGGTCTTCAACTTCATTATGGTATGATTCTACACAATAAAAGAGGCCATTACTGGTATGTATAATATATTCATAACAGTCAAAACCCTAATGGAAAATATCCTTAAATATTAATTTCCTTGAAGTTTGTAAGCTGATCAACTCTAGTGTTTCACCAGCTATACAATTCATTCCGCTTATATATTTTTTTTGTTTAATGGTGTGAGATATTTTATGTGTTCCAAATACTGTGATGTAATTTTTGCTGTGTTTGTCAATATTTTTAAAAATATGATGCCCTCTTGTGGCAAAAATGCATGTACTTATTTTTCAATGCACTTATCCTAGTTCCCATCACAATAACATCAGTTCATCGTAGAATATAATAAGATGGATTCTTTGAAAATTCACTGTTGAATAATACAATCACATAGGACCTGCATTACAGTGTCTGTTCAGGCAACATTATCTTTGCTACCATAAATGAAGAATAGCAGTTTATTTGCTGGATAGGACCAAGCTCTGTCTAATTAAGGCCTTCCCTAGTATTTTGACTTCAGCACATCAGAAGACTTTCTTAGTAGTTGCTCCTAGCTCTGAAATTTGCTGCCATTGATGTCTAGGCTTCCTTCTGTGTTGTTCTTCTGATAATAAGGAAAGAAAGATATATTCAGCCAGACCTTTGCCAATTAAGCAGAACTGTCAGTATGAGCTATATCTATAACACTGCTTGTTTTTGGCTTTGCCCAGCTGCTATAACACAGATTTAAAAACATTTCGAGTGAGATAATGTACATCTTGATATCCCTGATCTCAACTGGTTTTAAAATGTCTGAATTAGTACACATTAATTCATACTGTCACCTTTACATTCTAGCTTATTTTTTAAGTTGCCAGTATCTGACCATTGCAGTTACATAATCCACGGTAGTGTGAAAAAATATTGAAAATTCCTAGTTGTCTCGATACAGACAACTAGTATTTTTACTAGATTTGCCTTTTTTTTAGACTGCCATTTTGCATTTGTGAGACTTGTAGGGATAGTAATTTATGGCTAAGCTTCAAAGTATATCTATAAGTGGGCTATCCTGTGAATTAGAGGAAGAAGGAGGAGGTGGGGATGTATTTTTTCTTAGGGTGATGATGTATGTCGGCTGGCTTGAAACTGTTATTTCTAAACCAGTTTGGCATCTTGACCATTCATGTGTATAACCAAGTGTCATTTGCAACTCCCTGAAACATGTAAATTGCACAGTTGTTGTGAGTTATTGTTTTCCTAATGCTCTCTGTTGTTTTTCTCTGTTCACTTGATTCTGAGGGCTTGTACTCTGTGAAAACTACATAAAATTAAATTTTAGAGACTTCTGGTTCAGATTTTAATCTAAATGAGGTAAATAATTGTTTAACTGATATGAACTGCCATTTGTAAAATGGGAGTAATAGTAACCTGTTACGAGTAATCTGCTTGGATTTTGTGGAGGTTGTACTGCACTACACACACACACATACACACACACACACACATGTACATATATGTTTATGTATAGTTGTGTTTTTATAATTGAAGTCTCTTTCTCTGCACAGAAAAGAAGATAGAAGGTGTCTATACAAATGCCAGGAAACAGCTGTTGATTTCTTCAGTGCCCACTGTTCTAGTTCTCCATCTGAAAAGATTCCATCAGGTAAATACTCGAAACACACTATTTTCTAAAAGTTTATTTGCTAGGCCTACATCTTGCCTGTATTGGGGTGGGCTGGGAAATATATAAGTTGAATTTGGTGGAGTGAGGCAACCCCAAACCAAGCTGGCAGCTGTAGAAGTTCTCCTGCAGCTGCTGCTTCCCGTGGGGTGCCTTTACTTGCTGCCACGTTTTCCTCTGGGGAGCATGTGAGATGGAGAAAACTAATTAACTGGAGATAACAACATGGACTACTCCCATGTCATGTGTACCAATGGCACTGCCAGTGCAAGGAAATATCTGTGTAGCAGGATGTGTGGTAGGGGGCTCAGCCAGAACTTCTGTGGGTCAGAA